TGACTACTCCGGAAGGCGAAATAAAAATTTTTCAACTTTATTATCGTTATCGTTTGTCAATAATAATATATATATATAATGTATATGTAACAAATTTGTCAAATACATATTGATATTTAATAACTAATTTAAAAATTGCAATTTTTTAATTCTGTTTATTTTCGGCGATGTTTCTTGATAATTTGTGTACTTTTTTTGGAACTTTTCTCTTTTTACGCACACCCATAACAGTCGGGTCAACATTCTCTTGAGATATCTTACGTTTTCTTCGTTGAATAGATGCTGGTTGCACCTTAATTTTTGCTCCACTTCGTATCGATTTAGCTTGTGTGGTAGAGTTACGTTGATAAAGATAAGAGGCCAACTTCCCATCTGACAAAGATTCGGCTTTTTCATAGCCTTTTTTAAAATATTCGAGACCTGCAAGCAGTTGACTACTATTTTTCGCTTTATCGATAATGCGATGAAAAAAATCTTCAATGGCTTCGACACGTGCACTCATGTCCACTATGTCAGTAAATTCGCTTCAAAAAAAAAAAAAAAAAAAAAATTAGTAACTTATTATCTCTTAACTATTCATATGCTATACTGTATTACCAAATGGTAGCACAATCGCCACTGTCTACAGTAGATGCATCTTTATTAACGTTAATATTTTCAGAAGTAAGATCAACATCCTGTACAACTTTATCATTATTAGTTGTTTGACCATTTTTCACTATAACAGATGCACGTAAAGATGCATAAAATGTAAAATCTTTTGCGACGGTCCCTTTTAAAAATGCGTACAATTATTATTAAAATATATAATAATAACATTCCCTTATACAAATATAATTATTTAAGTTTACTTACCACAAGCAATATAGTGGTAGGTCATACAGTCATCAATAGTAAGAGCGTAAATAAAATTAAATGATCCTTCATGATATTTAACTGCAACAGCGGCTTGGTGTTTACAAGGTGATCCTCCAAGCGCAGCAACACATGTGCATATCCCAATAGATGGATCGACTATATAAGTTTTACCGATAGTCGTGACACTTGGTACTATGTATATGTTATTATTTATATCGTATTGAATTCCCTCCTGATTTACCATCGTCCAGCCAGGACAAAGAAAACGTTTTGATAACTCTAAGTGACCAGAGCATCGATTAGCAATACTTAGTAACCTTCTTTCATAAAAACGTTCCATATTTGATATAATAAATTGAAATATTTGTACGACATTGTATGCTTGAGTTCTTGCAAAAACAATGTCTTTTAGAATTCCAAAACTTCTTTCTACGTAGTTATTAGTGTAATTTTTACGTAATAACAAATCTGCCCGAAATGATAGTGCCCATGAAGCCCGTCGTTCCCAAAGAAGTGTGCAATGTGACGCAAGTTGTCTATATTTAGTAAAATATAGTTCGCTGAATTTAACAAACTCTTCACCCATTTTAGGAATGGTAGGTGCATACAAAACAGATTTAAAAGAGTTCATAATCGGAATACGGTCATCTTTGTAAATTTTATGCTTCGAATCATACAACCAGCGCCAAAAGGCTTGTAAAACATGAAAAATGCATAGTAAGCGGGTGCAGGTTGGCCAGCAAATCTTTAAAGCATTACGCTCAGCATTAGAATCATCAGTAATAATGACTTGGGGGCCAATATGTGGCCCACGTCCATAGAAAGAATTAGCAGGTAAGATGGTTTTAAGTAAATTAATGGCATTTTCAATCGTAACTTCGGCTTCATCCGATGTTAAAAATATTCCCAACGGGAGTGCACCAACCATGCAGCTCGTATAAAGAAGACTAACTGATGTGTTAAGTGGATCGAATGCAGCAGATGCGTCTAGGTAACAAAGTTCGCCAGCCTGACAAATTTTTTCATGTACTCTCATCATCAAACTTGTAACAATACAAAGAATGAAAGGCGTACTAGCTGTTGAATTATATATTTGAAGAATCGCCCTTCCATTATTTGATTCATTATATTGATCAACCATCTCTTGCAGCCGATCAAACATGCCTTTTCCGTTTCGATCACCAAGTTGAGTAATACGAAATTGGTTGTAAAGGTTTCGCACAAAGCCTCCATCTGGATTTTTAGCTCGATCGGCCAACAAACGTGCAAGTTCATCATCATTCGATGCAGATAAGTGCAATTTATCCTCGTATATATGTTTCGCTGAAGCTGCTGTATGTCCTATATTAAACAAGTTTATATATTGTTTTTGTGTTTTCATACTAACTGGACGGAAGCTAAAAGAAGCTGCTGAATTTGGCAAGTGGTTGTGGGTGAAACAAAGGTTAATCTCTAGTGGATGAGAAGTTGAGAGACTAGATGTTTTCAGCTTAAAATCAAGTGTAGCTGTGCAATTTGTGTCTCTATTTCGTAAGCTGTTAGGATTTTTAACTTCACGATTCTTATTTTTTTGTTTCACCTTATGACTATGGATGCAGTGACGAGTTTCCCGAAAAATAACTTTGCTTCCTTTGACTGGATAAGTTCGGGTAAGTCTCATAGTAGTTTTTGAAACTTCATGAAAGTCGTTTAACCAATCTAAAGCAAGTTCTTTGGTATTAATATCCACATACAAATCTACACTAACTTGTCCGATATTCACGTTTTCAACCGTAATTATTGGTTCAAGTTCAGAATAATTTTCTATTTTATAATTGTAACCCGATGGAAGAATTTGATGAAGTGGGGTCGGTAAATCAAGTAAATTGGGGTTTTCTCTTTGCATTTTTTTATTATTTTTTTAATTGAAGTATAATAATAAATATGATAATAAAGAACAAGAAAAATTCCTTCTTTATAATAAATAAATCATTGTCGCTATCATTATTATATTATTAATCATAGGGATTGATATATTTAATGATCCGGAATAACTATCCGGACTATCACGTGATCATCCA